CAAATTTCTTCTAAAGTTAGAAATATTTGGATCCAGGGTCCTAGATTACTGCAGGGGCACATGTGTAGTATGCTGCATAATTGCAAACATTCTCCTCCACTGCTGCCTTATGCTTGAGTTTTTGTTTTGAAGACTCATCAGTTGTAAATGTAAAAATGCAATAAGGTCTCATTCATCTGCAGTTATTCCTGATTTACACCTGTGTTCAGGTAAGCCGGGCAGTTCTAGTCAGTTTCATTATCTTTGAGTTCTGTTATTCCTTTTCTGTTTTCTATCACTTAGGCTCAGTAACAGAATACTGTGTTTCATTAAAATCTCACGATTCCTACTTAAACCGTCATAAATTATTGTATCATCACTTTCCCCTATTGACTGCATCTTTGTTCATTCAAGACTCCCTGTTTCATATTGGGTTTTGCCACTGTGAGGTGGGGTGGTAAATTAAAAACAAAAATCCATTAAAAGGAAATTCTGGTGGTAAATGAAAATGCCTGTCATTACTATAGAACTCCCTCTGCTGGTTGTATTTGGAATTGAGTGTGGATAAAAGGGCTTCAGACAATAGAAGCTGCAATGATTTCAAGTTGTTTCCTAATGAAAGGTCTGATTTTAATCTTGCTTTACAGCAAAATTACACCAGCACAATTCCTTTGTGCTGAGGGCATTACTCTTTGTTTGCACTGGTCTAGGTGCATTAGACCACCATATTTTAAACCTCACTCGCAGTATATCTTGCAACACAGATAACAGGGCAGTTGATCCTCCGTTATCTGGCACTTTGTGTTGTCATTTTCACCTATGCAAATGAGGGGTGAAATGCTGCCATTCTGATTTTGCAGTTTCAGATTCACTTTGTTCAAGTGAAAAAGTTTCCCCCCGCCACAGTGCACCTACAGGACCTATGGTGCTGGAACTAGGAGTTTGATGGGTGGGGTTCTGCAGCACCCCCGTGGCTTGAAGTGGTTTCAGTTATATACAGGGTTTCCAGTTTGGTTCAACAGCTCTCAGCACCCCCAACTATAAAAATTGTTCTAGCGCACCTGACAGGACCTGTTGTGTGAGATGCAAAGGGAAGAAGGAAGAGATGAGGCATTACTTACACTGCTGTGAATCAGGAGTAGCTCTTCTCAAGCCCACACAGTTTGTAAAACTGGCCAGTGAGATTAGACTCAGACCCCATGCACAGAAAGCAGATCCAAGGTGCTGGTTACATTCCAAGTTCTATCTTTTTCCAATGTTCTGTGGGGTCAGGTACTGCAGGGTTAGCTTGGCTCGAAACAGAGATAACCGTCAGCAGCCAAGTTCAAGTCTCAGTCCAGACTTCATCTTCCCAGTTATGGGTCTAATCACAAAGGCAGTTGTGCTGGAGACCTGTTGCTGTCTAGTTGTCCAATGTCTACCTTGTTGCACCAGAGCTTTCCTCTTCCTTCTGTAACAATAATCACTTGGAGCGACAGGTTGAACCTCTCTGCTCTGGCACCCTCAAGACCTGACTGGCACTGAACCAGAGATTTTACCAAACCATAGGAGGTCAATATTGTCTAGAAGCATTACCAGCACTGCCACTGGTTCATTAAGCTCTTAGAAGACATTTAGGCTATGTCTAGACTGCAAGCCTCTTTCAAAAGAGGCTTTTTTGAAAGATACTTTCGAAAAAGCCTCTTTCGAAAGAGAGCATCTAGACTGCACGCGGAAAGCAGCAAGTGAGTCTGGATGCTCTCTTTCTAAAAAGCCCTGTTTGCTTTCAAGAACGCCTTTTTTCGAAAGAGCACTTTCGAAAAAAGGCGTTCTTCCTCGTGCAATGAGGTTTACCGCCGTCAAAAGAAAAGCCGCGTTCTTTCGATTTAATTTCGAAGGAACACGGCTGCAGTCTAGATGCAGGTGAAGTTTTTTTGAAAAAAACCCTGAGTCTGGACACAGCCTTAGGGATAAATTAGAGCTAGCTAATATCACTGAACACTAAGAGCCAGGATTGGTAGCTGTAAACAAATTTCGTGAGACCACTAGAAACTTGACCACACCTATAATAAGTGAACATCTGGCTTATTAAAATCATGCTGGAGCACTGATGTTGCTGGACCAGTGAGTGCTGGACTAGGGAGGTTCAACCTGTAGTTACCTTCATCAGGCTTATTACAAGAGGTGAAGAGATATGTTGGGAAGGTAATGGTGGAGCAGGACAGAGGTGTGTCGCTTTCCGTTCTGTGCCAAAAGCACAGAGAGGACTCCTCTTCCTGCATAAATGCAAATCAGGATTGAATTTAAAAAATAAAATGATCTACAGGAAATCGAGGTTGGAATCTGCTGGGACAGCATGGAAGGAACATGTACTTCCCAGAGCACAGAGGCTGTTGATCCTTACAAAAGCCATGGAAAGGGGAGAAGTTTCCCTTCCCTTCCTTGTCATTGTGCACCCTCAGAAGGGCCAGGCAGGAATCTGAGACTCTCATATTGTGTCAGCAGGGTGGGGAGAGATCGCTACATAATGTCAGAAGGGAGGAGCGATCTATAAAGTTATATGCAAATGTAAATGATTCCAAGGAACCCAGTGCATGGGAGGGTGCTTTGTCTTATGAATCCATATATATTACACCTGTGTTTGGGCAGAAGGAGATAGCCACATGGGCCAAGGGACAAGGCAGGGGCTTGGAATTCAGGCAATCAGTTCTTTTATTTGCTCTGACCTGGATCAAGGCCTTCCTTAAGTCACTTCACCCCTCTGTATCTCTCTTCTTTGTGCCTGATTTGCCTAGGTGGACTGCAAGCTCGTAGGAACAGGCACTGTGTCTTGCTATGTATTATGTGTATGTACAGTGCCTAGCACAATGAGGCCCTGGTCGCAATTTGGGCATTGAGGCATAGTATAATACAGATAACTACGGGACCTGCTCGCCATTGCTCAAGTCCTTAACTGAAATAATTTTTGTTTTACTTCATTTAAAATATTGTTCTAGACTGTGGCTAGGGAGGAGGGGTTCAGGATGCAGGCTGGCCCAGGGAGATAAGACTACCCCACCTCTCTCTCACCCCCACAGCTTGAGGGGACGAGTTGCTCAGTGGTTTGAGCATTAGCCTGCTAAACCCAGGGTTGTGAGCTCAATCCTTGAGGGGGGCTATTTAGAGATCTGGGGAAAATCTGTCAGGGATGGTATTTGGTCTTACCATGAGAGCAGGGGACTGGACTCAGTGACTTCTCAAGGTCTCTTCCAGCTCTATGAGAGAGAGAGATAGGAGAAATGCATCTCCATGGCTGCTGCATTGAGCACAGCTGAGCACAAAGAGACAGCCTCAAATATATAGTAGATAGCTAGACTATTTGATCTGAGGAAGTGGGTCTGGCCCACGAAAGCTCATCATCTAATAAACCATCTTGTTAGTCTTTAAAGTGCTACATTGTCCTGCATTTTGCTTCAACTACCCCAGACTAACACGGCTACATTTCTATCACTATCCCATTCTGCACCTTGCTGCCCCAGTGGAGTTATAGCTGTCCCAGTCTCCAGCTCTGGCCCCTTGCTGCCCCCATGTGGTCATTACACAGTGTAACTGTCCCTCCTACCAGACCCCTCCCTTTCCATTTTATGAGACACAGTCGTATTCCAGGCACATCCCATTGTCACAGACCAACCAAACCCTGACCTTGCTTTACATTATTATAAAGGGAAGGTCTATACCACATTTGGTGATCCTTGCTTGTACCATTTAGGAGGAGTTCTTGAACAAACAAACTCACATACAGATGGACAGAGAGACAGACACACAAACTGTCTCAAATATATAGTAGATAATAAGGCAAGCTGTCAATTACTGAATGTGTTAGCACTGAAGAATCTACCTCTCCCCTTAGCCAAAAGAGGGAGCCTGAGCCATTAAAGGAGTGTTGTGAAAAGAGAAAACTGTCTGAATATATGTCTGGAGATTTCTAATTGAAACCCTGGGCTATGTCATGAAGGATCCATCTTCCTTTCAGGGACCAAGTTTCCAAAGAATAATAAATTCACTCTAGGTCTGAACTGAATGCAAAATTGGTCAGACCTCTGCAGGAATCAGTTTTGTGTGTGCGTGTGCACCATCCATAGCATGGATTGGGGATCTGTGTGTGCAGTGCATATACATTCGCTCTCTCTTGCTTTCTCCTGCACCTGCCTGCAGATGCCACAGAAAATTGATCTTTATGAAACAAAAAAGGTGAACCCTGGTGCTCAGCAGTTCGGAGCCATCTGTCTTGTCAGGAGCGTTGTTGCATGGGAACAGCAGAAGGTGGCTACTTAGAATTATTCATTAATAAAGAGCCAGCCAAATTCCAGCTAAAAAGCCATCCTTCTGTGTATGGGGGAAAAACAACCTTATTTGTCTACAGGAATTAGGCAGGGAGTCTGGGCTATCACTCACACAAATTGAAATCTGGGCACATGATACATCTAAGCACACATTTTTTAAAGACCTGACACTGCAAAGGTGCTGAGGGCCTCCCATTGACTGGAACAAGAATTATGGGTACTCAATACCACCGAAAATCAGACTAGAAAAGGCTTTAAAAAGAGCTCTTGTCTCCCACAAAGGCTCCCCTGGCATAGCCAGCTCCTATGCAGCTGCTGCGCCCCTAGTCATCATCACCCAGCACATAGCAGAACAACATGGTGCTGGGGCTAGGTCGCTTCCAGACTCAAGGAGCCACAACTCACTGTGCCCAGCAGAAGCTTTGTGCAGTTGAAAGCCTAGCTCTTAAAAATTTCCCACCATAACAAGCAGTGTCTGAAGGATACTCCAGGCAAAAATGGGAGGTGGCCCATGGTCTGAGGACAGAGTTAAGGTGTTTTGGGTGACCTTACTTGTTCATTCTTTTCAGCACTTGTGCATTTTTTATCCAAGCACAGGTTTCCAGGTATTTATGTCTAGTCTTTATTTCACCTCACTTGGCTTCTCTTTGTTTAGCCATTTGTCTTTCTTTGGTTTCAAACTGACTCCTCTTTATCATTCATTTTTATGCTACTTTTCAGGTCGCATTGGAATATAGAGCCAAATTTTCAGCTGCAATAAACTAATACAGCTACATTGAAGTCAAGGAAACTTCAGGTTTATACCAGCCGAGGGTGTCCCTGATAGTTTTGCCCCCATCAACAATAAAAAGGTGAGTTTATCCTATTTTCCCAGTAACAATTCTCTGTACCTTGGTGAAGGAAGGTTTGCAGAGGAAATTTCAATTGTAGGCAATAAAGGTACTATTTGGATTTCCAAATGGGAGAAACTGTACCTTCCTGTTTTTCTTT